TTTGTTAAATTTTAAATTTTTTTATATATTTGAAAATGGGTTGCATTGTATCTTGGTACTTTAAAATGTCTTTATAAAATAATCTATACTTTTAGCAAGTCATTTGTATTAGGTGGACATTATGTTATATTTTGTTGCCTACGGTTTCCAGTATAATGGTAAGTAGCATAGCTGCCAGTTCTTTTTTCATAATTATTAATAAATTGGGTGTCATCCCCGCCAAGTACCGCCCTGGTTCAACCAAAAAAAAAAAGAAAAAGAAAAAATGTTAAGCAATAAAATTTTAATTAAATATAATGACACTAAGTAGTAAAAAATTATGGCATAGTAAAATAGTTAAATAGTAAAAAAATTAATAAAAAGTAAAAATTTAATTACATTTCCGAACATTAAATGGTAAAAAGCTTACTAAATAATAATATTAAGAATTAGTTCAGATAACATTTACAATTGTCACAATAAATCATTAGATCTATGATAACATGAGTACACACAAGTGGTTAATATCTTTAAAAGTTTAATGTCACCATACCTACTTATGAAGACATTATAAAGTGGCTTTATACTAGCTTTTTTTTTTCGAGTGTCATTATTTGATTCATTACCAAATGTATTACTATACGTAACCCTTTCGGACAATATGACTTGACTATCCATGGCAGTTCTAATACGTCAAGTCCTACATCTCTATGTGTGTCACCCTTTTCTTTTCCCTCCTAAATGTGTGTTCTACTTTTAATTATCTCGATACAGGATTTTCAACTAAAATGAGTAGCAGCGAAATGAACCCAAAATTATGTGACGGCTGCATGCTAGGTCTAGGGTATAAAATATTAGATGGGTAGCCGCCCTTTAATTTGTCCTTTATTAAGAGCTTTGTTCTTCTTCCTTAGGTAGCCAGGAAAGTCATTGTTTCCTAATTTTAATACAGCTCGAGCCGTCCTATTGCTGTGCCGAATCAAGTTGGTCATTTTAGTTTCCAAATTTATTATGACAGTGTACTTCCGCGCTCTTTTATTTTTTCCTTACCAAACAATGTTTGCACGTTTCACAAATTCCAAATCCAATTTCTGTACATGAATCACGAGTTAATAACGCTTTCTTTTAGTTGATCACATTACGCATTCAAACCCTCACTATTCGAGTCAAAAGGTCCCGATTTCAGTTTTGAAAAGAAGATACACGCGAATTCTGAAACTTAACCCTAAAGACTCTATCCCAACAGAAGAAAAAGCTCCGATAAATTGAACGAAAAGATGAAACGAAAACGATGACAAATAATTATGTATCCAGTAACAATCAAATCCTTTCCAACCGACAAATACGGAGAGTTTCGTCGTTCATGACACCAAGCTCCACCTTCTTGAGATGCTTTCAAAACAAGCAAATGAGCAACAACATTAATTAAGTTCATACAAACTTGAGCGCAGGATGCATCATTAACCCAAAAAAAAGGAGGCAATTTCAATCATGAGAGAAGAGTATTTTTAGGGGAATGACAATCTTCTTTGAAGGGAATTTCAACCAAAGTTTTATTGTTACAAAAGAATTTGATTATAAAAATTTATGAAACTACGTGCGCAGTTCACTAGTGAGAATAACAATTGGTAAATGATGAGTCCAACAAGGACTCGATGTTGATTCACCGTAAATCGTGAAACTTTTTGTGTATTAATCTATCTGTCCTGATTTTTTTTTCCGGGTTATTTCATTTGATCCCAACCAACAAAAAAGAAATTCTAGGACGAGGAAATAGCAACTAATTTTTTTTTCCCAACTTAAACTTGGAACTAATATCATCTCACGTATTTCGTTTGAATTTGTACTTGATCAAAATTAATGCACTAGTAGCTAGCTTGGAATTGAATCAAAAGTCAGCGGCCCTTTAATGTAGCAGCAATCTCATCCTAATGTTCAAACTTGGCACTAAACAAACAAATTTGCAAAGTTCTCCAATTTGTGTTTTCATGAGTGTATATTCCGTTCTACTAACATTTCATACAACAAGAAGAAGCTAAACTCTAAATAGAGCTTATCATGGAAACCGGATCTGGTGGTAAAAATCCTGCGTGTGATAGCGATCAGACGCCGATATTGGACCCCGTTGGTGGCTACAATCACAACCAAAATCCTTTTGAACGTGGGGACGATGGTGAGGCCGGAAACCTCATTATGTACAATCCCCAAAATTACCCTAACCACCACATTTCAACAAAAATTATCATTAGGAAGACAATCCCTTATCTAATTGCCATTGTTTTTGCGAGCTTGATTCTTTACCATTCGCCAAGTCACATTGATTACTACCTTTTTAATAGGCCATCTCGTCCATTCCTTTTGTCGCCGAATCAATCTCAAAATACTAGAAATACAAATCAACTAGACCAGCAGTATAGTAATTCATCACATCCGGATCATCGAGGTGATCTTTTTGGCTCATGTAAGAATGCATCTACTTCATCAAATCCTGATCATCAAGGTGTTCTATTTGGCTCGACATCTGCTTCATCACGTCCTGATCGAGGTGATCTTTCTAAACCGACCAAGAATGCATCTGCTTCATCACCTCCTGATCGTCAAGGTGATCTTTCTAGCGCATCTAAGAATGCATCAGCATCATCACGTCGTGATCACCAAGATGATCTTTCTGGTCTGGCTAAGAATGCATCTGCTTTATCACCTCTTGATAATCAAGGTGATCTTTCTGGCCCCGCTAAGGATGCATCTGCTTCATCATCTCCTACTGATCATCAAGATGATCTTCCTGTCCTTGTTAAGAATGCATCTGCTTCATCACCTACTGATCATCAAGGTGATATTTCTGACCCCGCTAAGAATGCATCTGCTTCATCATCTCCTCCTAATCATCAAGGTGATCTTCCTGGCCCCGCTAAGAATGCACCTGCTTCATCATCTCGTCCTGATCATCAAGGTGATCTTTCTGACCCCGCTAAGAATGCATCTGGTTCATCCTCTCCTCCTAATCATCAAGGTGATCTTCCTGGCCCCACTAAGAATGCACCTGCTTCATCATCTCCTCCTGATCATCAAGGTGATCTTCCTGTCCTAGCTAAGAATGAGTCTGCTTCATCACCTCCTGATCATCAAGGTGATCTTTCTGACCCCGCTAAGAATTCATCTGCTTCATCATCTCCTCCTGATCATCAAGGTGATCTTCTTGTCCTGGTTAAGAATGCATCTGCTTCATCACCTCTTGATCATAAAGGTGATCTTCCTGACCCCGCTAAGAATGCATCTGCTTCATCATCTCATTCTGATCATCAAAGTGGTCTTCCTGTCCTGGTTAAGAATGCATCTGCTTCATCACCTCCTAATCATCAAGGTGATCTTTCTGGCCCGTCTAAGAATGTTTCTGCTTCATCACATCCTGATAATCAAGATGATTTTTCCGGACTGGCTAAGAATGCTTATGCTTCATATAGAAATACATCCATGGCATTTACTAAGAAAAGCTTAGTGTTTAATACTTCATCGTCAATGCAAGATAGAAAGGATGTACCGACATCTCCAGCTTCATCACCTGTAAGTTGACTTATCTCTCTTGTCATACATATGCATGCACACAATATGTAGCACCTTTTGATTTTATTTTATTTTTTCATTAGTGCCGGAGAGAGTGACATTTGACAGTGAAATCAGTAAATGAATGATAATAAATATTTAACGAGTATGATTGTTGTTTAGTACTCCATCCGCCTTGTAATGATTATCTGGTTTTAAATTTTACTTTCAGTACAAATTATACTAAAAACGATAATGCGAACTGGATAATAATTTTATGTCAAACAGAGGGAGTATTTTATATGATAATTAAGAACAAATGAAACAATTAAATTTGACACTTCCTTCAACTGTAATAGATTAAATATAGTTATAATTGAGCCCTACATAATGGATGATTCCAATAACATTATAGATTAGGTCATATCATAATCCTTTGTTATCTTTCAAACAGCCTGCTGAAGAAACGGAAGAGGCCAAGTTAGAACAAATGCTAAAAAAAGCAGCAACAAAGAGCAAAACTGTGGTAGTCACAGCTGTAAATGCAGCGTGGGCAGAACCCGGTTCATTATTTGATCTTTTGCTTGTGAGTTTGAAGAACGGAAATGGAACCCGAAAGTACATAAAGCATCTGGTAGTTATAGCCTTAGATCAACCGTCATACAACCGTTGCTCAAAGATCCACCCGCATTGTTTTGCACTCAAGACTGACGGGATCGATTTTTCCGCCCACGAAGCAGTTTATATGAAACCGGATTATTTGAAGCTGGTTTGGAGAAAGATTGATTGCATGTACTCAGTTCTTAAACTCGGTTACAACGCCATTTTCACGGTATGGACTTTTTTACTGTTTTACCACAATTTATAGGACTCTTATTTCGGAATGAAGGAAGTATAATAACATTGGTGAAAAATTAACACAAAGAGAGAGAAGTGTCTAGGGATGGAAGGAAATTTCTCATTTTGGAAGAGAACATTTTAGAAAGTATCCTCTTTTGAGATCAGGATTGAATAAATAAAATAAAATACAATATGGTTATTTGAACATTCAAAATGAGCTAGTTCGACAATGATCAGGAAGTTAAAAAATAATTTTTAGGGGCAAAAGAGGAAGAAACACATTGGCATTGCGGTAGGCTATCTTTGGGAGAGTTAGGTCGGGGGAGGTGGTTTACAAATGTGATGTTTGGGACCAAACCAGAAAACTATAAATAAAAATTGGCCAATCTAAACTAACGAACAAATAAGGCTAGTCGCTAATTAAGCTTTGACACAAAACCTAACACATTTTGTTGTTTACTTGCGTAACAGGATGCTGATGTTGTGTGGTTTCGAGATCCATTTTTACATTTCTTTGATGATGCAGACATGCAGAGTTCAACTGACATTTCTAAGGGCGTCAATGTTAGGCCAAATACAGGTTTTTACTATGTGAAATCCAATACGCGTACAATCCGATTTTTCGAGTTTTGGCTCAGGTCAAGATACACATACGGAATAAAACATGATCAACAAGTGTTTGAAATTCTAAGAGTGGATCCTTTCGTATTAGGAGAGATTGGAATCAAGATTAGATTGTTGGACACAGCTTTTTATGGGGGAAAATGTGAACCAAGTAAGGATCTTAATCTGGTTTGTACAATGCATGCCAATTGTTGTGTTGGTTTACGAAGTAAGTTAAAGCTTCTTAGAAAGCTGCTTAAGGAATGGAAAAAGTACATGGCATTGCTCAATAAAGCGAAGCGGACTAAGACACAATATACATGGCCATTTCCAGTGAACTGTTAGTTATATTCTTTCCGTCCGAATTCTAGTTTAATTAGAATTGTAATTCTAGTACATATTATACTAAAAATGAAAATTCATATCAAACAATAATCTTGGCCTGTATTGTTCTTGTTGATTGCAAATTAGTCGTGTTGGTTGGTTGTATTGAGTAGATAAATTGCCTTCTTTTTGTTTTATAATGAGTTCTTTTTCTTTCTTTTTTTTTTGAAATAGTACTTTTTATAATGAGTTTATGAGAATAAAAAACTTGACATGATACGTGCATGTGTATTAAATACTTTGACATAATGTTAAGCTTGAACTTCAAGCAAGCTCGGAAGTGTAAATACACATACTATATTACGTACATATGCTTGATAAACATCTATATAAGTACGTTTTATCTTAAGTTATGTTCTACCAGAGAATTTGATCAAGTAAATAGCTCCAACGTGAAGCTTTAAGCAGCAATTTTCCCCCTTTAAAATTAACAGACAGACAGTATAGTTCAAGTTACCAACTAAAGACCACAAACCGTGAAAATGGGGCCCTCTTTGGGGAGACTGTATGAGCGAATGCCCAAACCAAAAAATGTTGTAGTTGGATTCTAACCCGATCATTAAAAAGCCAGAATGAATTTGCTGGAGCAGCCGGAGCTAGCTCATCGAGTGCCGTCCGTGAACATATTGGGTGAGATCTAGTGCCTGAGACTGACATTTTTCTGGGGCATTTGGTCAAACACGTCGCAACCTTCCCCAAAGAGTAAAAGACATATTGTCTTTCGATACCGTCAAGACTTGTAATTTGATTTTCAGCTGCAAGCCACCAATCCAGTGGAGAAATCACGCATTGCCAGCTTGAGATTGATGCCCTTGAAAGGACAATTTGTGGACACATATGGTTCTCGGTTTTTAAATTGTAGAAACAAATATCCTTTCCGCAATATAGCATTTCAGAAATCTTAATGAAATGAATTACAAAAATCACGTACACGGAATGCGGTTTCTTTATTTTATTTTTATTTTAAAATGTCAAAACCGGCAGGAAATTCGATGTCGAATTAAAAAAGTAATAAACAAAATCCGCAAACCCTGAATGCGGTGTTGAAAATTACAATTTTTAAAAAATAATTTCATAAGGCGGCAAAATTTGAATGTTCAAATCAAAAACAGCATACTCCATTTGCGGAAACAAAAATTGCATTCCTCCCATGCGGTTTTAAGTCTTATCCAGAAAACTTGAACATGTCTTGCAGTAATGACACGTGGCGGATAAGTTGACAATAAAAAACTTACAAAGCCGCATTCCTCCCATGGGAATTTGGTACAAATATCTGTCAAAACAGAACGCAAATGGGTATTTCTTTCATTATCCATTATATGATTTTTAGCTTTGAGAGCTTCCAATCAGAAATGCATTTCCGGTGAAAGCAATGTGAAAACTTGAAATAAGGATTGGTGTTGAATCATTTTGGTAAGTTTTTACTCTGTGCCATCTGAATAATATTTAGATTTGCACCCTCTATTGCATAGATTGTTGTCTTTATATATTATTGTAGAATTATGAGATGAATGATATAAATTTGATGTATGAAATGAGTGAATTGGTTGAATGTATGTATTTTGAAGATGAATATGTGGTTAAATTAATTCTAGACTTTATGTTGGGTAAAGGAACGAAATTAGAATATAGATTTGTTTTTGGTGAAAAGATTAGAATATAGATTTAATAGATGTATAGATGTGAAGATGAGATAAGTAATTTATTTAAATTAGATAATTGACTAAAGTATTTGAATCAGACGGTCGCTTTATATTTTCTGTATTAACTGTTGGATACATTTTAATTTGGGGTTCAAATTATTTGTACAGGTATCGAAAATGTCTTTCCATGGTCTGTTTGGTCTGAATGTGTACTGGACTAGCGGTATTGAAATTGTAAATGGAATTGTTGATGTGAACAACAGAATATCAGACAAAACAATATTTATTGACCACGAGTTGAATTACATTGAACTCGTGGACAAGGTCTGTAGAGCTGCTGGTTTTGATAAGGGAAGGGTGACAGTCAGTTTTGTTCTTGTGTGGACTGATAGTTCTGGTAGAAGGGGGTATATGCATATTCATGACGACGAGGGTATACCGTTGATATACCTATCACAGAATTGGTCTGAATTGTACGTTTGTTTTGCGCCAATTGGTGCTATTGATGCAGGTACAAGTGGTGCAGGTACAAGTGCTGATAGTCAAAATGAAGACAGTGAAGATGAAAGGGGTGAAGAGGAAGGCAGGGAACAGGCTGGTAGTGACAACGAACACGTCCCATCGGGTGAATCCTCTGATGAAGAAGATGGCAATGACACTAGTGCATCTGTTAATCCCAGATGGAAGGCTTATGAGGCTTTCGCCAAAATAATTGGATAGGATAATCCTCATGTGGAGAATAATACTTATGCTGAAAAGATGTGGGACGGTGTCATTGATCATATTAACGCTGGGGTACATTTCTTGTGCAAGGATGATGCACAGGATGTTGTGGCCAACTGGTCCACTGATCGAGGTAGAACTTTCATCACTGTTAAATCTGATGGGTCAAGATAGTGTGTAAAATGTGCGACATCATCTCCAAAGTATCCTCAAGAGCGCCTTGGCGGCATTCCATGCAATTGGTGGGTACGGGTGACGAAGCAGGATGATACAGACTTATGGAAAGTGGTGATATGGTCGGATTCCCATACTTGTTCTGGGAAAAACAACGAGAAAGACAGTTGAAACGTGACATCGACACTGATTGCTCGACTTGTCGCACCTAGTGTTCAACTAGAGCCAACTTACAAAGTCAAGCTCGTTCAAGAAAATGTCTTTGATGCGTACCATGTCAATTTAAGCTACAAGAAGGCATGGCATGGGAGGAGGAAAGCACTAGATAGTATTTATGGTAGCTGGGAAGATAATATCAGAGATTTGTCCGATTTTATGTCTGCACTGTTCGCAACCAACCCTGGTACTAAGGTGAAGTATAAGTTCACAAAAGGCACTAAAGATCTAGACAAGTGGGTATTGAGGCATGTTTTTTGGGCTTTCTAGCCATCTATAATTTATTTTCAAGCTTCTATGCCGGTTGTTAGCATCGACAAAACCCACCTCTGAGGTGCATAACAGAGAAAATTGATGATGGCAGTGTGCAAGAATGCAAATAACAACATTGTTCCTGTAACATTTGCCTAGGTAGATGAGGAGACTTTTCCCAGCTGGAAGTAGTTCCTGAAATATTTGAAGGAGTTTGTTATCTAGAACAGGGAGACATGCATTATCTCTGATCGGCACTTGGGTACCTTTCTGCTATGGACATGATGCTCGAACGATTTCCTGATATGGGTGTGCACTGATTCTACTTAGAGCACATCAAGGCTAACATTGCAGAGAAATTTCCTGGGCAGAAGTTGAGACCCCTTTTTCAGAGAGTTGGCCACACACTGAATGCGACAAAGTGCGTAAAGGCATGGGAGAAGTTGGCCAGTAAAAGTCCAGCAGCTGCAAAGTGGCTTGATAGCATCGTAGCGAATAAGTGGACCCTACTTAGAGATAGTGGCAATCGTTGGGGTGTAATGACCACCAATGCCTCGGAGAGTTACAACAACGCCTTGAAAGGTGCACACCTCTTGCCAATCATAGCTCTGATTAAATCCTCATTGTTGAAGACAGTGAAGCTATTTAATGACAATTATGAAAAAATTGAGAAATGTCATACTGTCCTCGCCCCACACTACATGGCTAAGTATAACAAATGGATGTTGCGTGGTATGCGTCACAAAGTTATCATGTTTAGTAAACGGAGGCAGCTGTACGAAGTTGTTACAGGACCACACGACAATAGGCTATGGAAGGGATGCAAGACCCATGAAGTTCAGTTTGGTGCAGGTATATGCACATGTTTGAAGTGGCAGACATATAGATTTCCATGCTCTCATGCTATTGTTGTTGCTATCACATTGGGTCATGATCCCATTCCCTTAGTAGATCCCCGTCGCACGAGGGAAGGTTGGATCGCCCAATTCTCTGGAGACTTTGCCCCGGTTCATGGGCGTGGCCCAGCTATACCATGGAAGCTCGTACCGGATGACACAAGATTAGTTCATCATTCTGGAAGGGTAGGAAGTGGGTGAATAGAATGAAGGGTATTCAAAATTATTCAAATCGTGGGAGTCGTCGAGAACCAACTTGTAGCCGATGTCAACAACAAGGTCATAAGGCTGACAAATGCCCCAATTCTCATCCACCTTGGGGGGGAGGGCGGGTTTGGGTTTCAAGCGGCGAGGGAGGAGGCAATTGGGGGGTTGAGTTTCAGGCGGCAGGGAGTGGTGGTGGTTTTTTTGGTATGTTTTTTTTTTTATAATAGTTTATTTTTGTTTTTGTTTATTTGTATATATATTTTTTTTGCTTTTGTTTCTTTATTCCATTTTTTAATAATTTAGTTAATAATTTAGTTTTGTTTTTGTTTGTTTGTATATTATTTTGTTTTTGGCTTTTGTTTGTTTATTCTATTTTTTCATAATTTAGTTAATAATTTAGTTTATTTTTTTTTGTTTCTATATTATTATTTTTTTGGCTTTTGTTTTTTTATTCTGCTTTTTCATAATTTAGTTAATAATTTAGTTTTGTTTTCCTTTGTTTATATATTATTTTCTTTTTGGCTTTTGTTTGTTTATTATGTTTTTAATAATTTAGATAATAATTTAGATAGGGGGTGTTTAATAATTTAGTTAATAATTTAGTTTTGTTTTTGTTTGTTGTATATTATTATTTTTTTTGGCTTTTGTTTTTTTATTCTGCTTTTTCATAATTTAGTTAATAATTTAGTTTTTTTTCCTTTGTTTATATATTAATTTTTTTTTGGCTTTTGTTTGTTTATACTGTTTTTAATAATTTAGACTAGGCTTTGTTGTCGCGCGTTGCGCGGCCAGTGTTTTTGTTATATTTTTATACATCGTTCGTAATTTAGAACATTTGCAATAGTTAAATTTCGGTAACACATTCAAAAGTTAATTTTGGCATAACAATTCAATTTTCTATTTTGTAATTTTTAGCACATTGTGTCTCTTCTTGTAATTGAATCATCTTATAGTTCAATTGTAATTTCAAGATTACCCGGTGCACATATAGAAATTGTTATCTGTACATAACTAAAAGCCTCTTAGTGAGTTTAGAATCTTGAACGCCATTGGTCAGAAATTAAATTGAGCATTCTGATTCATCCATTAGTTCACATGACATCGTCAATTTTAAATTGAGCCCTTTGATTGGTTAATATATTAACATGACATCAGCAATTTATAACAAGGCTATAATGGTCAATTAATAAATTTATTTTTCTTTTTTTGCCAACCAAAATACTCAAATACTGAAGTGGTCGCGAGACGAGAAAAGTTCTAGTTCCAAAGTAAATACCTGTAAAACAAGATCATATAACACATAAATCTAAATCCATCACTTCGATGAAATCACTAACATGGTGGATGAAATGTATTGGAAAATATGAATAACAATTTCTTGAACCAAAATATGACATCGTGGATATTATACCAAAATGAGAGGATCATGTAAATATCGCATGCGATTATAATATAAGAATTTATATATATAAATCGGTACTTATTGTTAATTAGTGACATGGGTCGGATTGTTCTTAACAAATATGATAACTTTGTTTCGTGAAGAAATGTTTTAATGAGCACGATGAACAAAATACACGAATGCACGTCAAATGTAGCATCTCACTGAGTAATTAGTGTTTAAAAAGCTGGGTGTATTCACTATACTTGTAATGAATCAAAATGAAAAATCTTTTTTACTGTACATTGAACGAAAGATACTTTCAAAGCAGCATTCTTGGAAGAAAAGCCCAAAAATTCTTGTCAACAGAAAGGCAGGACCAACTGGTCTGGGGAAATGGTCACTATAAGGAGTTTGTTACTTCTATTTCCCAATTCTTTGTTTCAGATCCCAGAAGTTTATGAAATGATATGAACTTTTTCTTTGCGTTTTGTTCAGTTTAGCTCGGCAATGGATCTAATGACTATGGAAGAAAGGGCTAAGAAGTAAAACGCTGAGAAACATAGAAAACATTAAAAGGTTATTTTGTTTTTACTATTGAAGAATGCATAGGAAGTGGCTTCCCCTTGAGTTTCAGGGAATGAAAGAAACTGAATATATCTCAAAACATTATTACTCAGTCTAATCCTTTAAGCTATCAAACAATAGATTAGTTATCCTATCCCAAATCTTTCATCAATTAACTTGGGAAACCATTGATGACCATATACTTTCTTCGTTCTACATATATGAATTATGAAAAGAATACTATAGAATAAAGAATATGAATACAATCCAATAACGGATTAAAGCCAATGCATCATTTTGCCAATTGTTATTGATTAAGCTACTATTTGTCCTGCTCTATGCACAGTTGATCAATCCATGATGGCACAATGTCATTGAACCCTCCATTATGCTTCTGCTCTGAACTAAATAGTTGAACGTCTTTCACCAAGTAATTGACCCAAGAAACATCAGGTTCATCTATATTTGGAGTCCTGCTACTTATTGCGGCAAAACCAAAATTACTGTTGTCGCAATACGCAAATGATGTTGACTTCCTCAGCTTGACTATACCTAAAAGTTGACATAGAGCAGCAAAAATCAGTGGTGGTGTAGAAGTTTATTACCAAATCTGTCCAGATTATGCTTGAGATTTTTTTGTGTACAGTTAAAATAAAATTCACAAGAAAAAAACATAGCTCTTAATATAAATTAAATTTGAAAATCAAGGCATCCACATCACAAACTGCAAAACCTATTCACTATATCAAAATGAGTTACACATGTCACATGCCAAGGAAACTAACTAAAACTCTGTCATCTTGATTATGATCTTAAAACTCTTACCTAGTGAAGGTAGTTGCAAGCTTCCAAGTTCCATCCAGTGAAATTTTCAGTAGCTGTTTTAGTAGACAAAATGTCATTACAGAAATGGTACAAGGCCATAATTTTCTTAATATATTCCGTAAATTGAGACCTTCATTAAGGGAATCAAACGGCGTATATTAGTCTTTGGTCAGAAGAGTAGCAATTGGTTCATTAACCTCTTCAACTACCGTCCCAATACCAATGACCCATCTATAAAATTAAAATTTCATTAGAAATAAGGGCTCATGAGTCACAACTACACACAGATATGCTGCACACAAGCGTTGATTGAAGACAACATTATTAGCCAGACCTCTCAATAGCAGCTCAGTCAAATTTGAGCAAGAGAGCGAGAACAGATTAAATTAATCAATTTCAACTATCATGTTTGACTAAAAGAGAAAAGCTGTAATCAAGCAAATCAAAGCAAAACCTAAGATAACATCCACATATGCACCCAGATTTTTGAAAGGAGATTACAATACGAAGTTCAAAGAGAACCAAAAGCATGGAAAAATCAAATAGATGTTTGCAGAGCGAATCATTTGCAGGGGATAAATGTTTTAGACGTGGATTTTTCCCTCATCATTGTGCAGAATAATGTATTAGTAGGCGACTGATCAACGATGTTAACTTTAGCAATTCACCATCGTTAAGTCTTGAAAATTACTTCTTTCTTATAATAGTTATTCATAAATGTTAACTCTATATCTCTATCCATTTAATTCTTATCCCACTGATAAAAACAAATTAGAAAGAAATTACTCCACTTCAGTAGAATTCCAACATATAGGAAACATCTCACCCAACTAAGATCAATCTCTAAGAACCCTTAGATTAATTCCAAGGGAAATTACTCCGCTTCATAAAAATTCCACCATATAACAATGAACATAAGATAAGCCACAAAGTATGTTTGAACGCGGGAATAATAAAAGCAAAAAAAGAGAGAAAGAGGGAAAACCTGATTGAGATTGTTATCATGAAGAAAATGTGCTTGCCTGAAGTGAACGGAGGAAACTTGCTTGAGTGAAAAAGAAGACGGTGCGTGCCACATAAGCCCATATACTGCCGATTCACAGCTTTCTAATAATCCTAATAAATTTGGTTATCATTGTTAATACAAAAGTACGAGAATGCATAATGAAGGAACAAAAATATTACCGCTTGCTAAAGTTGAAAAGCTCTGCCTCTAGTTTCAACAGGAACACTGATATGGTAATAGCTTCACTCAGATTCTGTTCTGCCCAAGTTCTTTCTTTTCTACTATGCAATTAAAATTTAAGCTAATTATTGAAGTCGAGAATTGAATGACAACCTAGTGATTATGTTGCTGTCTTTCCTGGTAATAGACCAGGGTTCACTACCCACCAACGGTTGTAAGGGAGATTTTACCCACATTTAAGTGGGATCCACTAGCGTAGATTTTTATTTTTTATTTATTTTTAAAAAGCTGATTATTGAAGTCCGTCCTATGCATCGAAACAAACTACGAAGAGATAACTCATGGCTTCTACAAGCAATTGACAAAAAAAGCATGAAAATTAGCATGGAGAGAATCTCAAATGAACTACATATTTAATTGTACTTCAATCAGAATAAAAATTTAATAAAAATCAACTTAAAACTAACCTGAAACATAGCGGCAGCAGATCTCTGATGACAAGGCTTCACCACAACCACCGGCTATCAGTGCTCCACTACCACTGGCTGTGAGGAAAACAAACACCAGGAAGTCCAATTAGAGATCGGATCTTGAAGGCTTCGAGTTGTCAGCTGCGTTGAACTTCTCCTCGGCAATTAGGAAATTGTTTTTCTATAACCCTAATACAAATCAGGATGGAATTCCAACTCGCCGACAACCATCACCACCAACACCTCAGCCGCACGATCAACCTCGAATCCGAAGTCTGGATTTTGATTTGGATGCCATGGGAAGCCATGGAACTGACTGGGTCGTGGCAGATGGAGAGAGCGATGACGGTGGTAATAATGATTGTAAAAATTTAGTATATTTTTATAAGCTCTTTTAAAGCTTAAAACCCAAAACGACATTTTTTGGAAGGCAAGGGTTTTCTCCAAAAGCTTTACGGATTTTATGTCCAAAAAATGACGTTATCCAAAACGACGTCGTTTTGTAGGTTGGGGTTTTTTCCCGAAAATCCAACGGAATTTTTAAATTGAGATTTATGAAGTCTCGTTTATACCCCTAATAAGTCGCTGACGTCATATCAACCCCATCCGACGGATGAGATCGCTTTGAAGGTGGCCCTGAATATTTCTTGGACATTTAATTTCTTGTCTACTGTGCCTTTATATTAAGTATAAGGATAATAATTTAGATAGGGGGTGTTTGTTGTAATTTAATTTGAGGGTTTATATAGCTAGACACCAGAATTCCAAACCCCAAACCCTAAACCTGAATTCCAAACCCCAAACCCTACACCCAAATAGTATTTGTTTTAAAATTTTTCAGAAACATGATTTTATATTTTTTGAAACAGTAAAAAAATAAATGGAGGAGGGATCATCTTCTAGGAGTTCGCAGGATGTACCTATAGAGCTCCGACAGGGACCTATACAGGACGACGTGCTGTATCTCCAAAAAATTCATAGGTCCTATCACGTTTTCCATGACAATCCCAATTTCAAATAAGAAATAAAGTGTAGACAACAGGACGGAACCTTATGGGAAATTTTAGAATCAGAAAAGCCAGAGACTCTTAAGTTCGTTGATAAAATGGATTTTGGCCTGCTTAGGCGTATTGGGTCTATATTCCTTGACTGGGCCCTGATTACTGCTCTGGTCAAGCGATGGCATCCAGAGATCCATACTTTCCATTTTTAGATAGGTGAGGCAACCATTACCCTTCAGGATGTAGAGGTCATTATAGGCCTTAAGGTGGATGGGGAGCCGGTTACTGGACCTGAGGTCGAGCCTGAGAATAAGTTATGGGGTCCATATTTGTTGTGGTTGTTCGGATTTGGCACCAGTGAGGCCCATGTGACAGACACAAAACTCTATCTCATTGATTTGTATGCTCACTTGAATAATCTTGAATAATGCCATATCTCCGACGGCATCAATGGAGGAACACCTACAGCGGGCCCGTTGTCTAGTGGCATGTATGTTAGGAGGTTTACTGTTCCCTGACTCAAATAGGGACAGTATCCCATTTCTTTTGGTAGGCCCACAAGCAGACGTTGAGAGTTGTGCACAACTAAGTTGGGGGAGCACCGTGCTAGGCAACTTGTATAGAGAGTTGTGCACAACTAAGTTGGGGGAGCACCGTGCTAGGCAACTTGTATAGAGAGTTGTGCAAAACTTCAATGGGGAAGGGGAAATCCATATACGGATGTTTGCTACTCGTACAGGTATATATACTACACAATATCTCGTGATTCTATGTGATTTTTATTAAACACTTAATATTAACATATAATATTATTATTTGGACAGCTTTGGGCTTGGGAGAAGATTAAGAATATCCAGCCAAAATTACGATGTCTAGAGCCACAAGATCTTGGGGAATGTCCCCTTGCCAAAAAGTAAGTATCATTTTAATGAGTTGGATTTGTATTCTATACTGTGTATATTGGCTAATTTGACGCTATATTAACAATGCATGTAGAGATGTCCCAAAGTTGTCAAGAATATCACGAGGAATAATCTGCTTGCCTATAGGGATCAGTTTGCTGTTCTTCAGGAGTCGGAGGTATACATTCGTACCATATAAGCGTTCCTTGTTATTGTTATTATAATTTTTTTATATAAAAAGGTGTTTTGTAATATGAACATTTTTCTGTTAATCTATTTTTTTTTTGTAACAATAAATTTGTCATATTTCAGTTCGTTTGGTTGCCGTATTCACCCACTGTTTTCGATAGTATTCACCCATCTTGCCTTACCGACCATCAAATCTGGAGATTCGAGACATATCTGATCTTTTTTAATGTCGTTGAGGCATACATTCCTAGTCGGGTTACGAGGCAATTTGGGTTCAAACAGGGCACACCCGATGGTAATTTGCTTATGGCAAAAGAGCCCTTACTGAATCTGCACAAGATAGGGCGGCATGGAAAGACATGGGATTCGAAAGATTTTCACAAGACTATGTCCGGGTTTGGGAAGATAGAGCTAGTCACATTGTTAGGAGTTCTGATGATTGCATTGGCTTCCCTGCGATAGATGACGAGTACTTTCCATGGTACCAGCTCAAGACTGTGGCATTTGTTATGGACCCTAGAAAGAGACATATAGAGGGTTTCCATGGAGCGGCAGAGGCGTATCACGATATGGTGAGTGTTCTTAATTTGTTTCCTCTTACTTTTTTTTTATAAATTTTTTTTATACTTATGATTTTATATTTTGGTATAAATGTGCATGCCAATTTAGTCACCGACATTATGAGGATGAGTCTCCTTGGCATGGGTGATTGCACTGACCCTAAGTCTTCTGCTCATATAACGTTCAACCAGATCGGAAAAACTGCTAATCGAGACTTGTCATTGCAGAGGACCCAGTGTTGGGTACTCCCGAGTGAAAGTGAGAGTCAGATATTTGTCAATGCAGATCCGACTCAGGAATATCAGCCACCTATGGTTCGTCAATGTGCGCCTCCTAGGGAGGGAGTCCGGAGAGGTGGGAGGCAGCCCAGGCGTAGGTACACTCAAGATCAGGTGGGTCATCATCACAGCCCCACCAGAGTCCGTATCGTCCTATTTTTGAGGAAAATCAGACGCCATACCATCCTGCTTTATCGCCATAGCACCAGACTCAGCTGGATTTTGGTGATCAATTTCTTACTTTTGGTATGCCAGACCAGGGTCAACTTTCTCAGGAGGCCTTTCAGTTCCAGAGCCACCTGTTTTTGGGTTCTGGGTTTGATGTTGCTGTGGAGCAGCGTTGTTTTGAGGACCAGGCAAGACATCAGACTCAGCAGTATCGGGTTGGAGCTCAGGTACATTTTATTCATTTGATAAATCAATAATACGGATAAATTAATATTTTCTTATTTTATCAACTAGTTTTTTTTTTTTTTTTTAATTTTATTGATAGAGGTTGTTAATTTATATAGAATTAATTGATAGAGGTTCTTATACAGGGTTCAGAGCTTGCGGGACAACAAGCATGTAAGAAAAAAAGGACCTTGTCATAATTTACCTTTTACACTGCTGGCTTTGGCTAAGGAGCCGAGAAATATAAAGGTGCCTGCAAAGCTTGCTAGTTGCGGACTCGGTGAAAATAACCCTGATGGTCAAATGGGTAAGGGAAAGAAGCGCAAGTAGCGTTTGTGTAGTGTTATGACTTGTAGTATTTGGTGTTTTGTTATGTCTTGCACTAATTTGATATTTTGGCTTGAGTACTTTGGTTATATTGTGGAACAATAATTTATCAAGCACAACATTTCCTAGTTTGGCATCAATCTAATTTACTATCTCAAGTATTATCAACAATTACAATTGGAAAACTACGCATAATTTCTAAAACTTATTTTACCTTTTATCAAGTTTAATGTTAACAAATAATAAATTATCATAATTTTAAGAAAACTTACTTATTTTTCTTTATTTATGGGTTTAGATCAATTATTAGTTCTTAAAATTAATATATTTAATGCATCCTTTTTCGGCTACTCTCATTTATTTCTTTTCATGTATCCTTAACATTTTAAGGTTTTAAATATTTATTATCCTTTAAATTTAATTCTTAAATTTTTATATCAATTTTTTTAATATTTATAATCGCAATAATCAATTTATACACTAACATGTGCATAACATATTATAATATATAGTAGTAAAATATTTTCGCTGACAAAATAATTAATTATATTTTATTATTTATTATTTTTCTCACAAATTTAATAAATCCACATTGAAAATTTTGTAACATCAAATATTTAAATCCGCATTACAAAATTGTGGTAATGCAGAAAACTGCAACCGAGTATTGCAGTTATATATTTTCGCATACCTCGTATGCGATTTATTTATTAATTCAGATTTAGTAGAGTTATACGTAATTAATTATTTTATTTTAATTAATGTTTCAAAGAAAACCGCATCGGCGGTTTGTGGTTTAACAAAACCGCATTCTTTGTATGTGGATATATTTACTACCGCAATGTGTTGATACGGTTATTTTGTATTTCCGCATTCCTTGTACGCGATTTTTTGTGAAAACCGCATATCTATTTTGCGGAAAGGGTATTTGCGTGCACAACAGTCTTCATGTGGTCTTTTGTGTCCAGAAGTAGGGTTTTCAGACCCATATAAGTAAAAAATCCCACATTGCTACTGTGTAGTTATTACACGATCATATCTTCTTCTTTGTCTTAAAAAAAAAGAAATAAACCTTAAAATCATTTTTATGATAGGACAAAGAAAATGCTAACTGCGGAAACAGAAAAGAAAAATGAACTTTCGGGTGCATTTTAACGGAGAAAACGTACTATTGACATTTTTGAATACTATGGTTTTTTTTTTTTTTTATTTTTTATTTTTTACTGATTTTTGTTGCAATTTATACATTGATTTAAACTACACTAATATTCTTACACAACCCGCGTCCCGTAATCCCGTGCAAATGTCTGACCATACTCAAATTGTCATAAATGTATACAATGTTTATCAGGTTTATCATGCAGTCACAATTTACTCTTCCCTCTTTCATGTGCAACCCTTCCTAGTCGTGGAGAAGTATATTGGGGAGTAGGCAGCTCCTGGAGTTGGGTTGCTTTCGTAGAATTAGATAGGGCTACCAAACACGAAGAAATCGAGGAAAAAATAACCTCGTGGGCGATAATCTTCTTCTAGCATTAGGCCATGGTTCAAGAAAGGCGTTAAGACTCAATGAATTCGTACGTGTTGTTCAAATAGAGTATGGTTTCAGATGTAACTATACTCTTCATCTAAAAAAAATCCATATTGAAAAATTTCATTTCCCTATACTCTTAATTAATTATAAAGCATAAGTTTAAACTAATTTTGGTGTTACCGTATATCTTATTATAATAAGGATGTGGTTGATCAAAAGGGTACCAAAGTCATCCATTAAACATACAATTCCACTTTATATTCTAAAATTTCATTTCTATTCTTACTTATCATGACACATAACTGGATACAGTAAAACGCCACTATATTAATAATATATAAATTATTAATTTTTTGTAATTAATAATTTTCTCCCGACCGAAATATTGGACCTATAGTAGTGCTTGAACATTCGTCGCGCAATGCGCCACACACCCTATAAATAATTTAGCGTACGTAGTTTGTTATTGGTTACACACGAGTTTTGTTTATTATTATTTTTAAAAAATTTACTGTTGATGATTATACGAAAGATATAGAATAATAATCAATGTATATTGGAATGATCAAATATTTTCTTTGTTCTTAAAAAAAAATATACTTAGTTACAAATCTTAAAACTCAATGTTAAATGTTTTTTTGGAATGGAAAGAGTATCATGCTTATTCGATCGATTTGTTTGAGGCTTAATTTTTACGGTTTCATTTTAAACCAGATTTCTGCTTACATAACCCATGGCACTTGCTCTCTAAAAATTATTAAAGCCATTCCATTGTACTAATGAAACAAAAGCGAGATGATTATAATGAACAAATACGAAGAGGGTTTATAATTGAACTCTTACGGCGTTCTTAAGTAGGTATACGCAAGGAGCAGGAATATATCTCCCTAGGTTTCTAGCTTCTCAATACAACAATGTGACAGGTAGATTAATGTAGATATTAAGCAAAGCCATCTATTTTAGTTTGCCTGTAGTCGGACGATGCGCTATCAATTTGTATTTTCAATATATTATAGATAAATTTAAAAAAAATTAGTTTTTAATTGAATTGTTATTATGGTTTCATCAACAGCCAGACAATACAAGAGTCACGACGTGATTTTCACCCTAAACTATGTAGATTAGTATGTCAACAAATATTATCATATTTTCTACGTTGTGCTACATTATGTTTGCCTTCATCTTTATACTATTGCAACTATTAATACATAAATTACACATTAATGTCATGAGTTAATTTTATTATTTTGCATATCTGTAATTAACAAATTAGTGGTATGAGTTAATTTTATTCTTTTACATAAATGTAATTAACAGTTCAATCTACCACAAATTTTCCCAAATTAAAAGGTCTGAGTGCCAGCTCCTTTCAAGGAGTAACAAAGATGAGTGTGTGGCTAACAATGATCACTTGCATCGAAAGTGCTGCATTTAGCTCTTAATATTTTTGTCTGCGTACTTGTGGTCTTGTGGTGATGAATTTTACGAATCTTTACATGGCTAGCCAGTTGGTCTGCAATCTTAATGTGGGAATTTGGTGCCAGTGGGAACAAATATCAGATAATGGAGATGTCAGACACTATGAAAGAGGAAGGTCAGTTGTGCAAATGAGACGTTGAAGATGTCAAACACAATGGCGGAGGACGACATATTGAGAAAAAAGGTTTTGATTTGTTTCACGATTTAGGGACAAAATACTATAATACAAATTTACAACCAACAAAAAAATGGGAAGAATAGAAAAGAACAAAAAGATAAATCCGTTATTCCAATAATACTACTAATAATAATTATTATTATAATAATAATAATGATAATAATAAGTTCCAAAGAGATTAAAGTCTACTTCCTTTTTTCTCTATTACAAAGTCTACTTCCTTTTGAATCAGATGAAAATAGAACTGTTTAATAAACTTCAAATCTGGTACTTCCTCTAACATTAATTCAGCTTTAGAGTAAGAATTGTCTACTCAAATGAGAATAGCTTTGTCCTTTATTCCTGTGCAGTTCATGTTCTAAAATAGTAGTACAGCACCAAATATCCAATATGCGCTCTTCCCAGAACTTCAGTTCCAAACTTAGTAACCTGCCTTCTCTCGCTTAATCTAGTTTTCTGAAGCTTTTGAGGAAGTATCGGTTGTTTTGTGATGGAGACCATCGAGCTAACACTAATGGAGAGAGACATGTTGCTACTAATAATGGAGAGGACGAGCAAGTTGAGGTCGTGAATGCTAATGGAGGATCTAAATATGCTGCTTTAAAGAATAATCCTTACATCCGTGATCCACTCTCAAACATTGTTAGAACAATAACTCGTGCTAGACGCAAGAGGATGGATAAATCACTTAATAGTCTAATTACTACTACATGGGTTAAGGAAGAAATTAAGTTTGAAGATTACAAGTCCAAGACTATTAATTTGTTGCAAGTGAGACCAAAAGGGCTTGGACTATTTGGAGAGGACGAATTTCGGCCCTCAATTCAAGGAGAGACCACCGGCCACACTCCTTATGGAGGTCGAATGGATCCCTAAAGTTTAGGGGTGAGATCATTCAAATTTTATCTCTTTGAAAGATAAGACTTTATCTTTTTAAAGGATAATATTTGGGATGATTCCTTTTATCTTATTGCTTTTCGAGTTTTCCTACAATAAGGAGTCAACTTTTGATGTCTACTCAACCATTGGATGAAGACTACATCAAGATGGATGGCTAAGATCACTCTACAAAGAAGATGATGATAGAGTTTTAACTCAAGGGAGATTCTATCCATAGGAATCTTCTTAAGAGATTGTTTCTTTGTATTTTGAGTTTTAATTAATTCCTACATAGTCTTAAATGTCTTAAGATTAGTAAAAGTGTCTAGGTTCGTTATCTTATCAATTAAGATAACTAGGATTCTTTAGAGTTTGATTTGATTTTAAATTCTTAGAGATATGAATATAGATGAAGAATTGTGTTCTTCCCTACTTCTTGGGAAGAAAATTCGGCCACCCCCTCCATAAAAAGGGACCGAATTTCTCTTGTCCAACACACCTTATGTCATTGATATTTTCCTGAGTGAAATCAAATTGGTTAGGATTTTATTCCTTTCGTGGAGTTCTTGTGAGGACTTCTTTGTTTAGTTGTTGCATATGTGTTGTGACAATTACTAGACTTATCTATCTTGTTTAGTTCACTTGATAGTGGCGTCTTTAGCATTGGATCTTTCGAATTTTCGTTCTTAAGCTCATAGATCTCATATCTATTGGGTTTTACTACACAATCTTCCAAGGGGTCTCTGCTTTGTTAAAAATAGCTCTCTTCATTCTTGATTTGGGTTGTTCTACCATTGAACTCGTGAATTGATCCACGTGAGATCAAATATCTTTTCTTTTGTTTGTTTTCGTGTGTTTTTGTGTCATTACATCCAAATTCTCCAAATTCCGCTGCCTACAAATCTCTGTCTTTCCGAGTTAGCAAAGTTGATC